TATATATATGATATAACTTTTCCCCTCAAATCAACCACACGTTTACCATTAACCGATACAACTTCTAATTCATGACCAATTTACTCGTTGCGTATACACGCGTATACGCAGACACACAGGCCGTGGCAAATAAACTCGTTCTATTCCCATCGAATCCTACCATTTTCCACCCTCTCCCGGTTTCGTTCGTTAAAACAAACGAATCTATGAATTTATTTCCAACCGAGGTCCGATAGGGGATCGGGGAATTAAACAGATTCGCAATTACAATCTGCGAATGAACGACGCTCGATCGAATTTCGAGAGGCGGGGTGAGGGGGGAGGGGCGCGTATCGGTTCGTTTTACCCTCGTTTCCCCCCGATGGAGGGGAAAACGGATACGTTTCATCGTAAAATCCGACCGTTTCCCGGCTTTTATGGGTCGCGGGGCCTCTGTTCTCGAAAAAAAAAAAAAAAAAAAAAAAAAAGTATCGCGCCCCGTTGATCGTGTGTGTGTGTATGCATACGTATCCCTTTCCCTGGAATGGAAGGGGAACGGAAGTGGGAGATTTTCGCCAGGGTGAGGAAGAACTGGACTAGAACCGCGTCGAATTTCATCTCGTAAAAGAAATTAGAGCATCGTCGTGGAGTACATTTGATCGTGTGCGTAAGCAAGCAAGCAAACGAGCAGTTGAAAGGGAATACCTGGGGAACAAATAAAATCAGGGGCGGCCCGAGACGAAGCAAGAAACTGGCCGAACACAGAAGGGAGATGAGGTGAACAAATGGGGTGAAAGAGGTAGACAAGAGGGGGAGGGGGTTTAGAGGGGGAGAGAAGAGGTGAATAAAAGGTGGAAAGAAGAAAGAGAAGGTTGCGGATCAGCCGGTGGAAGAGGAGGAGGAGGAGGAGGAAACCTGAAATGGACGTAAAAGCCTGAACACAGGGCTGTAAAAAGCTCGTCGTCAAATGCATCCCCGTTCTTCTCTCCGCCGTTATCCACTCTCCCCTCTCCTTCTTTCCTCTCTGCCCTTTTTACCCCCTTTCACTCCTCCACGCACGCCCTTTACCCCACCTTTGATAGCATAAAGCGACTAGTGGGCGCGGCGCGCGTTTATTAAAAGCGCTCCGGGCTGGCAAAAAAGACTCGAGAGGGAAGAAGACCGCTTAGGGAGCCAGCGTGTTCTCTCCTCCTCCTCCTCCTCCTCTTCCTCTTCCCCTCCGCGTTCCACTTCCGATCTCTCGAGTGACCCGGAGGATCGTTTCGCGGTCGATCGCAAAAAAAAGTCGCCCGATGATGAAATGATCTTTGAAAAAGGAGCAATCGTATCTTTTTCCCCGGTTGAAAATCGGAACGCGAAACGTCATCAAAATTTTATTTCGAAAAGAATTGAAAACAATTCCTATTTCCTATCCTTTTTAATCAACCCCCGCAATATTTCGTATAGTTAAATCACTTTTTAAAATTTTTAACACTTCGTCAAATCATCACAACGCATTAAAATATCGAATATTAAATCACATATAAAATAATAAAAATATCCTCCTGATGAACACGAACGCGAAATCACAATTTCGAAAGAATTTCACCGCCGAAAAATTATTTATCGCGACGGATTAATCGCAGGAGGAGGGGGGGCGCCTAACGCGATTGCACAAGGATATCGCGCTCGTTCAACGCGCGGGAATCGGTCAATAACGGATCGTTAATTAATACATGAAAGCGTTTTATAAAACACCCCTCCCTCCCTCCCTCTTCCCTCCCTCCCCGTGGCAAATGACTCAAATGCACGTTGGATAGGCGGGGGCCAATCCGCGTTATATTATTCGGTGACCGAGTGATTTCCAGCGTAATTATCTTTTCGGCGTGGCTCTTTTCCGCGGCCGTCATTACGAGTGGGGGGAGGGGGTGAGGAGGGGTGGCCGTGTTTTAACAGCGTACACACCCAGCATAACTTGCGCCATTTGCCGGCCGATGCCTGTGGCCCATGGCCCGCGGCCGGCCCGATAATTAGCGTCCGTTTAATATGCACAATTATTACGGATTGATAATTGGGGCTGCGCATCCATTACACCGGCATTGAGATAGATGGTAATAGGTTTCCATCGGTATTAACTCTCTCTCCCTCCTCCCTGTGTTTCTCGCTTGTTTCTCCTCGCTCTATCTCTCCTCTCTCTCTCTTCGTTTCTCGCTCTCACTCTTTCTCTCCTTGTTGCTGGGAGGGGGTGGAGGAGGGGAGTCTCTGGGGGGTAGCGCGTAATCTCGCCACGCTTTCATAATGTGCACGAACTCTAGCGGGGGCTCTAGCGATGGGACTAATACGATTATATCGTTCCGGAAATTTTCAATCAAGCGGCGATCTTCGGCTTAGATTTTCGGATATTCTCGATTGTTACTGCAATTTTGAAATTTTAATTCAATATTCTTCTAATGTTAAACGCGTAACGGCGAATTTTTATTAAATTTCGAAGATACCTCATTCCATCGTTTGGAATGATATGATGATAATTTCTTTCGAAATTTACATATATATATTATTTTAAAATTTTTACTTTTCACGCTCAGAATCTCCATCATTGTTCCGCGATAATTTATTTATTCAAAAAACGCGAGCGGATCATTCCCATCGCTACCTCAATTTCATCTCTCTCTCTCTCTCTCTTTCCATCCCTTTCATCGTCGCCGTTCACACGTCTCTATCCCTCTCATCGCTCCTCCCCATCTCCCTCTCCCTCCCACTAATCCTCTTTCGCTACCTGTCCCCCATCCCTCCCCCCCCCCCGCCATTTCCCTTTCACGCTCTCCCTTCCATCGCACTTGTATTTATCTCCGTTGCACACCCCGCCCGCGCCCCGCCCAGCCTCGCAGGATCCCGTACAACCGCCAGCCCGAGGGCTATGAAATTGAAATATGAATGCTACTGGGGTGGTTGGCTCGTGTCGCGTCGTATAATGTTACTGATTGCCAGTACGCCGGTCCTTTTACCCTCTCTCCCTCTCCCTCTCCCTTTCTCTCTCTCTCCACCCCCAACCCATCCGCTTTGGATGCCGGGGAACGGAATACGTGACGCGTGCACCTCCGCGTCTTTCCTGCTCGCTTGCGTGCCGCGTAATTGGAACTCCAAATAATGCGTAGTCTTCGACCCGGTTCATCCCGGCTCGGGGTGGACGGGGGATCAAAATCCGCGCGTTTAAACGGGCAGAGGATGGAGGGAGCGAGATATATATATATATATATATCGCGGTTGTTTGGCTTTCCACGTGAGAGAAGACTGGCGAGAGAATCGGAGGGGTGGTTTGGGGAGACGTATAGAAATTTATATTTGTTTGTTTATCCACGGTGAATTCCCTCCACCCTACCCTACCGGTGCGCGAGCAAACGTTTGCTCTCGAGCCTCGTAGACGACGAGACGGGAGCCGGGATTACGAGCAGCGCGAGGCGCAATTTAAAATTAACCCCTGGGAACCGGGAGCAACGGCAAGATGCTCTCCGCGGGATCGGTGTGCAAACAAACGGGAGAACGCGACGCGGAAGAGCGCTTTGGAAAAAAAGAAAAAGTCTCGATCCTCCGCTTTCGGGGGAGGGGGGTTGGGGCCGTGTCGTTTTTGTTACTCGCGGGGATGAAATTGAAAGGAGGAGAAGAAATTCGCGCGATATCGATATTGTTTGTACGCGCTTCCTCTTATACGGTGTGGATTTTTAATTTAGAATAATAATATTTAACGATCAGTTTGATTTTTCATTTCGAAAGG